TACTTTGTCACCCTTAAGGTTAAGGGCGGCAGCGTAGGGAGGCGTGAATGTGCACCTTTTTCGCATTCTATATCCTCTCCTTGATATCAGGCTTCGAACTAGTGAGTAGTTACAGAACTCTAACTTACCATTTAACCTGTTGTAACCAAGGTTACAGAAAGCGCTAGGCGGGCTAGGCGTTGGACCCAATGCCTAGAGCTTAGGCGCCTAGGCGAAAGTCTAGGCGGGGGACTAGGCGTTTTCCTATTTTTTTAGTTTAATTGCACTTACTAATAGTAAATGCTAATGTCATAGAAAATTTAGGCGTTGGACTGACACCTAGACAGATTTCTTAAGTGGTGGTGAAGGTTTTGCTGAAGGTTAGGAGAGATAGAACGGGTGTTCATAGTTGGAGTTTGGAGGAGGTTGGAGGACGTGGAGACTGCAATGGAGGAAATCATGATCAATGCCTGAAGGGTGCGGTCCATATAGACAGACCATCCTCCCCTAGACACTCCCAAAATGTAGGTAGACAGCTTAGATACCGCCTAGACGATAGGCGCTAGGTAGGCGGCTAAGGTATCACGTAGGCCTAGAGGTATGCCTAGACGGGCTAGACGGAGGCTTTTTAAAACATTGGTTGTAACATAAGCAAAGAAGTTAGTCAGAAGATGCTAAGTTTTCCTTGATTTTAGAAATTGATGCTAGTTTGTAATTTTATTGTTTCAGAAGATAGTTTGTAATTTTATTGTTTCAGTAGATATTTAATGTTGCTCATGAGTTATGGTTAGTTCTTTAGGTTAATTAGTTATGAACACAAGCCCCTAGTTTTTGTATATATTTAGAAATTTTTCCTATTTTTCCTATGTTGTTTTTCTTGAAAAGTGGCCTTAAACATTTAAAAAGTATACCTAAGTGTTAGAAATCAATTTCCACGCAACTCCACAAAATTCAATCTTGCGATGCATAATCAGATTATGCCTTATCTGCCACCAACCATTTATGCATAGTACATACGTGTTTTATAAGGCAGCAAACATTTCATTTTCCATTTCATTTTCACAGAAAATGAAGGGAGAATCATGTCCCTATCCACATATGCATATCAATGATGTTACCAGACAAGCACTAACAATATGAAATATCCAAATTTTAAATATACAATAAAATTTGAGGACATGATAGCTAAGTGCCAGGCTAAAAAAGTGAAAATACGCATCGAATGCAGACAGACAGTTGAACTGTACATGCTATACAGGTAAGGGGTTACAGTTATTCCAAAATTTCCATCTACAGTAGTTACGAAGATGCAAAAGCTATAACAACATTTTCTGCAGATGCGAAACAAATTCATGCTGCTATTTCATATTTTCAAACCATAGACTACTGTGTTCGTTCATCTTCATATGTCTACGGACAGTTCACTTTCTTCGAATCATCCAGCCCTTAGGATTTTGAAATAGCTTCCCATTTGTTTCCTCTTCCTAATATACTCAGGATCTCACACATAGTGAATGGAGAAGGAGAAAAGGGAGCCAAAAGAACACTTTATAAGATTGAAACTTTATCTTTCTCTTCAATGATCTTTGGCAGTTGGATCAACTTACGGTGCTAATGAGCCTGTTGTCTAGCCCGCTGTACATCATTATATTATTGGCCATATATCAAATTTTAGTCTCCAAATCTGATACCTTAGTGCTTTGATGCTTCCTAAAGAAGAGCCTGTTAATGAGCATGTCTTGTTGATGACTATTTGCTTCACGTAATTACTTGATTGGATGCGTCATCACTGTCATGCATCTACTGCTACCCATATTACCACGAGCATTTTCATGATAGTCAGCTACTGCAACTTTTACCCCATTATTGCTTAAATAAACCCTTAATTTTTGAAAATAAGATATGTACGATTCTCATTTCGAGGGTACCGTTCATAATGTCATATCCCTAGGCATCATAATCATCATTGAAGTCTTTCTAGTGGCAACTAGGTCAGTTACGGACTACTGCACTTGAAAAGCTTCAACAGAATTTTTTTTTTTCAAAAAAAAAAAAACATTAAGTTGTCACTTAATGTTAATCCTGCATTCTGTACAATAAGAAGATTGAGTCTAATTCACCTTAGTGTACAATGGATAATATGAACAGTACAAAAAGAATTTAGCTGTATGTTAAATGAAGCGATATAACATTACCAGGAGAACCATAAGTGTTTTCCCAAAAAACCATTGAATATCATCAAGCTGGTTGTAGTTGGAGCTCAGGGCAAGATTTGTGCAGTTCATTCATCAATTCATGACACGAAAGGCCGTCTCCTTTAGACATTTCTTTTGAGAAGGAGGGAAGGTATTTTAAGATTGTACTATCATCCCCATCAATGGTGAGACATTTCAAGATGGTCGAAACAACTTGAAAGTCAAGAGCGACATTATTAGCTGCCATATGACGAAGCAAATCAATAATTTCTCCCATTTCACCTTTCTTTCTTAATCCATGAAATAATGTATCATACGCAACTACATCTGGAGAAAAGCCACTAGTAATCATCTGCTCAAAGACTTTCTTAGCTTCCTCTAACTGCCCAGACTTTGCAAATCTATTTATCCAAGTTCCGTAGGTTATTGAGTCCGGACTCAAACCCCTTTCGAGCATATCTCCAAGCAATTCTTTCGCATGTTCAAAATTCCCAATTCTGCAAGCTCCATCAATAAGAGTGGTGAAAGTTATAACATCAGGTTTGCAATAATCACCCATTTCATGAAACAAATTCATTGCTCGATCCATCATTCTCTTTCTGCACATTGCATCCAGCAATGCATTATAGTCAAACAAGTCTACGCTAATTCCACGATGCTTCATTTCACGTAAATATCCCTCAGCCACATCAACAAGCCCCATATTGCAAAATCCATTTATAATGGTGCTATATGTAAAACTATTGGGCTCCAACCCCTTACGAATCATCTCTTTATGAAGATCCCTTGCTCTAGAGGCCTTCTGAATTTTCAAAAGGCCGCCAATCAACAAAGTGTAAGTCATCGAGTTACAATCATAGCCTCTCTTTGCCATCATCTCATACATATTCAATGCTTGGTTGATGTTTCCTCTCCTACAAAACCCATGTATAATTGTGTTAAAACTCCTTGCGTCTGGCTTACAAGTACGTCTCCCCTCAAGCATTTCCTCTAACAACTTCACTGCATCATTGATCTTCTCGGCCTCACAAAGCCCAGTAATCAAAGTATTATAAGTCACAACATCCGGTGACTTCCCCTTTTGCACCATTTTCTCCAAGAATTTAACTGCATCATCGATCAACCCTTCTTTACACAACTGATTAATTAAGACATTATAAGTCGTCGTGTTCGGCTCCTCCCCCTTCTCCACCATCAGACCCAACATCCTCATCGCCTGCTTCCCCTTCCCATCTTTACACAACGCATCAATCAAACTCGTATAAATAAAAACATCCGGTTTAATCCCTTTCTCGGCCATCTCACTCAACAATCCAGTGGCCTCCTTCCACCTCCCAGCTTTACAAAACCCATGAATCAACGCACTGAAAGTAACCACATTCGGCGAAACTCCCCTCGAACCCATCTCACCAAACAACTCCAATCCCTTATCAACAAGACCCATGTCGCAAAACCCGCTGATAACCACAGTGTAAACCACCACATCAGGCTCCGTCCCTCTCTCACGCATTTCATCAAACAAGTTGAGGGCTTTCTCGACTCTTCCGTTCTTGCAAAGGAAGCCCATTATAGTAGTATACGTCACGATATTCGGGGAGAATTCTTGGCCCCTCTTCTTCATCTCCTCCCAGAGCTCCACTGCCTCACGGGTCATCCTCTCCTTCAGCAGCCCTCTGATGAGGCTATTGTAAGTGCTGACGTCGGGCTTTGCCGAGGTTCTGCGAAAGAGGCGGAGAGCCCGGGGGAGGTTGCGGGAGCTTGAGAGGGATTTGATGAGGAGGTTGAGGAGGTGGGTGTTGGGGACTGGGTGGCCGAGCTTTAAGATTCGTGCGGCGTGGAGGTTTTGTGGGGAGTTTCGATTGAGACATGGGAAAAAGGTTTGATCTTTTTCAGAGGGGAGGAAGAATCGGAGGTTTTGGAGCCGGAGAAGAAGGGGAAAATTTTCTGCGGGTCAATAAATTTGCACGTTAACATATCCCGCGAAAATTATTAGGGAAAAATGCTTCCAGCCCCCAAGTGAACATGCTTCCCATCCCCAGGACTTGGTCAATGGGCGTTTTACCCCTAAAAATAAAGAATCTGTTCTCTGAGCCCCCAAAACACAAAACCCAAGACATTAAAACATGTGAAGACCATAATACCATTCTCTCTCTCTTTCTTTTTTTATTAAAATATGATGGGGATTATTTTATTATTTTTGTTTTCTCTCTCTCTTTATCATGATGTACCAAGAGGATAGTTGAAATGATTGATGAGGATTATTTTATTATTTTCGTTTTTTATTAACATTAACAATTAAACCCGTAACCTTAACAATTAAACACGTAACCTTAACAATTAAACCCGTAACCTTAACAACAAATCCGTAACCTACACAACAAACACATAACCTTAACAACAAACCCTTAATAACTAACCCGTAACCTTAACAATCAATGCATAACCTTTACAACCAACCATTATCCTTAACAACGAATATTCTAAAAATACAAAAAGAATAAAAAACAAAAATAATAAAATAATAATCCTCTTTAATCATTTCATATCATCAAAGAAACATCATGATAGAGAGAGAGAGAGAGAGTCCTCTTGGTACATCATGATAAAGAGAGAGAGAAAACAAAAATAATAAAATAATCCCCATCATATTTTAATAAAAAAAGAAAGAGAGAGAGAGAGGATTCATAACCTTAACAACAAACCCTTAACCTTAACAACCAACCCGTAACCTTAACAATCAACCCGTAACTTTAACAACCTCCCAATACAAACAACGAAAATAATAAAAAACAAAAATAATAAAATAACCCTCATCAATCATTTCAACTATCCTCTTGGTACATCATGATAAAGAGAGAGAGAAAACAAAAATAATAAAATAATCCCCATCATATTTTAATAAAAAAAGAAAAAGAGAGAGAGAGGATTCATAACCTTAACAACAAACCCTTAACCTTAACAACCAACCCGTAACCTTAACAATCAACCCGTAACTTTAACAACCTCCCAATACAAACAACGAAAATAATAAAAAACGAAAATAATAAAATAACCCTCATCAATCATTTCAACTATCCTCTTGGTACATCATGATAAACAGAGAGAGAAAATAAAAATAATAAAATAATCATCATTATATTTTAATAAAAAAAGAAAGAGAGAGAGAAGGGTATTGTGGTCTTCACATGTTTTAATGTCTTGGGTTTTGTGTTTTGGGGGCTCAGAGAACAAAATCTTTATTTTTAGGGGTAAAACACCCATTGACCAAGTCTTGGGGGTGGGAAGCACGTTCATTTGGCTTTTGGGGGCTGGAAGCATTTTTCCCAAATTATTATTCATTAGAGGAGAGGACCCTAAGGGCCTGTTTGGATTCCGTAGGGGTGAAGGGAAGTTAAGGGAAACTGAGTGAAGGGAAGGGAAGGGAAGGGAAGGGAAGGGAAGAGAATTCCCTTCCCCTTGGTTACACCCCAATTTGGGGGTAACAATTTTTATACTATTAGGGGGTGAACCAAGGTGAATGGAGGTGAATTAACTTCACCTCCTAAGGGCCTGTTTGGATTCGTAGAGGGTGAAGGGAAGTTAAGGGAAACTAAGTGAAGGGAAGGGAAGGGAAAGGAAGGGAAGGGAAGGGAATTCCCTTCCCCTTGGTTACACCCCAATTTGGGGGTAATAATTTTTATACTATTAGGGGGTGAACCAAGGTGAATGGGGGTGAATTAACTTCACCTCCTAAGTGTTCCCAAACAAGGTGAATGGAGGTGAATGATTCCCCTAACTTCCCTTCACCCTCATTCCCCTCAATCCAAACAAGCCCCAAACAAGGTGAATGGAGGTGAATGGTTCCCCTAACTTCCCTTCACCCTAATTTCCCTCAATCCAAACAAGCCCTAAACCATTTCCTTTTTTCTTTTTTTTTTGCTCAGTTTAGAAATTTCCCCCCTTTCCATTTCAGTTCTTTAATTTCTAAGGATTTTTTTAGATATTAGCCATTTATATTCTCAATAGTTTGTATTAGGCTCTTAAATCTCCATATTTTGATATTAGTTCCTCAAGTTGCTATGATGTGTTAATATGAGTGGCTCATATCAACACATCATGTAGGCTATTTGAGGGTCTAATATCATAATACAAACCTAACAATAGGAGCTCATATCAATATATCACAGCTATTTGAGAGGCTAGTACAAAATATAAAGATTTAAGGGGCTATATATCAAATTACTTATAATTTAAGGGGTTAGTATCTAGAAAACCGTTAATTTTGTTGTTGTGGATGATTTTTGTTTTGGTTTTTAATATATTAGTCCATTAAATTATAGGTATTTCGATATTAGTTAACCAAATCTTTATATTTTAATACTAGTCTTTCAAATCTTCATCTTTTGATATAAGTGCTCTAACTAAGCTGCTCCTAGTCCATGTATCAGTTTAACATCAAAACCTTGATTCGATTTAGATTTCTAATAAATAAGTAATTATCTTATTATCCCTCCCTCCTCTATCGCCTGCATCTCTCCATTAGCATTCCATCCTTTGCATGATCGTAGTGAAGACACTGGAGCGGGCGCACTGAAGGAGAGAAAAGGGACGGTGGTGGTTGTTAAGGGTAGAGGGAAGAGATATGAAATTAGAGGAAGAGAGCGATCTAACTATCTATTTAAGAAAAAAGTCAAAAAAAAAGAATATTCCTTATTTATTTTAGCGCTAACTAACTAGAAAGGCTAATATTAAAATACGTACAATTTAAGAGACTAATATAATCCTTTTCGTTTTGTGTCAAATTTTAGAAGTCCCCAAACTTTTGGGGCATTCGCCATGAAGCGCCTCTGAATTTTTATTCCACTAAAACCTTGAGTTTGGGAATATCTCTCAAAAGCCCTGTAAACTTCAAAATTTTCTCATTAGACCCAGTAAAGACCCTAACTGTGTTAGGCGTCACTGGTCACTATTTTGATTTTCATGGGTTGCTGTTCCGTTATTATTATTAGGAGGTTTTGAGAGAAAATTGAAAATTTAGAGTGGTTTGCTAGACGACCCCAAGTCAGGGGGGTTTAGTGAAATAAAATAAGTTCAGCTAGTTGTGGTGGCATCGTCCCAAAGTTTTGGGTTTTTTTTTGAAATTTACCATTTTATTTTCCAGTTTGAAATTGAGAATTTATATCCGTTATTTCCGATACTTTTACACGTCGCTAGAAAAATGCCGATCCAGTAAAGCCCCAAAATTAAAATCGCCTGCTCGATCCCGTCACCGTACGTGATCTCACCGCTCAGTGAGAAACACGAGATCGATGAACAAGTCAAATTGCAGTAATTAGGGCGCCAATTTTGGTACGTGCTTCAACTATTTGATGTATTGCTTCAAAGAATTTATATGCATTCGTCTACATATTTTTTAAAAAAAATTGTAGAAAACGATATGCTTCCTGGGACAACGAAACCTAAAATTTGAGTAATATTGATCTTCATCGTCACAATTTTGCACATTTAAGTTCCCAAAGTTGACACGCTATAAAATTTTTACTGAAATCAGTTGAAATGATCAGTTAAATTCAAATGCACGCGTTTTTTTTGTTTAATAATCAAGATATGGTTCTGTTTACAATTATTTTCATCATCCCATACCCCCCCACCCAAAAAAAAAAAAAAAAAAAAAAAAAAACCCCCCCAAAAAAAAAAAAAAAAAAAAAAGAGACTACACACTGTAAGCTCTTATTTGCTTCTTCATGTCTGGGGTATTTCAATATTAGAACCTTGAGTCTTCAATAATTCCATATTAGTCTCTGAAATATCAATAATTGCTCATTAGTCCGTTAAAACCTAATGCTCTTGCAATATGGTCCCTGAATAACCAAAATAGGTTAGAATCCTTCAATTCTAGCCAAAATTTATCAATTTGCTCCCTTTCATTCTATCCCTACTTGAAGCTACCTCTAAGCTTTTTTAACAACTTCTCTTTTTAGCATTTTTCCACTCATCCTTCTCAACATTCTGATTTGAACTATACTCATGTTCTGCGTATGTTGTTTCTTAGTAGAGGCTGTCCTGCTCTTAGGCATCGATAATCATGGCCTATTGCTTTTGTGAGAATATGACAGTTTCTTGCCATCACGAGCGCTTTTGGAGGTTTAAGAAAATTGTTGGTAGAGACATTCTGAAGGAAATGTCAAATTTCATAGTATTACATGAGCAGTGACATTGTACTAACAGCGACAGAGTTGAATAATTGGCAGCCTAGCGAAAAATAAATGGATTTCAGTAACCATTGATCTTGCGGCAGAAAGATGATAATAGTAAAGAGAGACCAAAATTGAGTTTTATGTAGTTGTGGGATCCTTAGCAGGAGAGATGGGTGAATCTAGCATTAGGATGTGATGTCAACAGTGAGGTATTCATTTTACTGCTAACGTAGTAGTATTAGGTATTCTGCATTATCTATATTTCTCACACCCCGACAACTAGACTATATGATCACCATTGCATAAAAGTCTCTTGATGTGATGATCCTTAGAATATCATGAGAAACAAGGTCTTTCCAGGATAAGTAGCACGAAGCAAGCCATTCATTGCATCTATAGATTTATACAAGAACATAGCATGTGGAATACTCTTTGATCAACTTAGTACATAGGTAACACACAAACACAAATCTCGGTCACATAAACTGTAAAATGATTAAGCACATATAGTATCCCCTCACATTCCTTAAGCTGTGACTTGCTTCAATCGATTCTGTAATTGAACACGAGAAAGAATCAGTTAGGAAGTGCAGACACTTTACAGTAACTGTTTTTAAGAACTTGGCATCTGCCAAGAGGTTGAAGTCGAACTGTAATTGGGATTTTAAAATGGCTGAATTTCACTTAAATACCCTATAGTTTCCCCTACTTTGCACTTATATACTCTCACTTGTTTTTGGTAGCATTTATACACCCTAAAGGTTTTAAAACTGGCACTTACTTACCCTCACTTGTTTTGGCAACATCTATATACCTTAAAGTTTTTAAAACTTTCACTTAAATACTCTCAATTTTGCATAACTGATTTGAGGGTATTTAAATGCAAGTTTTAAAAATTTGAGGATATTGAAGTGCAAACTTTAGGGTGTATAAGGCTGCCAAAACAAGTGAGGGTGTATAGGTGCAAGTTTTAAAAAACGTTGCGTAAATAAGTGCTGGCAAAAGCGAGTGAGGGTATATAAGTGCAAAGTAGGGGAAACAATAGGGTATTTAAGTTATTAAGCCTTGTAAAAGGGATATACTTTATCCCACTAAGATGGAAGATAACAAATTATAATTTAGGTGTAAATAAGCACCTAGTCTATGGACCCAGAATAACTCTAGATTTGGATAATTGATGACAATAAAGTGAAAAAAACTCATTGATTTATAAGCAAGGAAGCTATTAATAGTTTGTTTAGTGTCCCAATACTTAGAGCAGTCCATGTTTGGCGACACAGTGAAAGGCAAAGTGGTGTTGCAGCTCCCTGGCAGTGCCTTTGCTGCTTCTACGTTAGGCTTGACCTTGGACACAACATTCATGATGCAACTGCATGCAGCTCTTCTGTCAGCTGTAGTTGATGCAGCAGATGCTAGTGTTGTGACCCCGTTGCAGCAAGTAGTTGATGGGCTGCCACTGTTGCTTGTTAGATAGCTGACACAGGGAATCAGGTCCTTGAGAACATCACTGCACTGGAGATCAGCCTCCGAGTTTTGGAAGAGCTGCAGTGAAAGAAGAAACAGGACAAGGATGGCGAAATATTGCTTCATGGCTACTGGCTTGTTGACTACGAAGTGCTTGTCGTGAGCTTGGTTAGTTCTACTAGTTCTCTTTCTTTTTATAGATGTTAGGATGCTTATGAGTGCAAGAAATGAGAAAGTTGATGTATTCTTCTGATTTTCTGTGTTTGCATGATTGATGCAACGGTCAAAGTCTGGTGAGAATTTTCTTCCATTGGTTTCTTCTTCTAGCATAGTTTGAGATGACTGGTTACGCATTGAACTGTTCTAGCTTGAGTGTTAATCTAATATACATCATCACAT